GCGACTGTGACATCACAGCCGACCCATTTCACAATGCATAATCACAAAGTGAGCCGCTGTGCTGCTGGTTCTGCTTTACACTGGCAAGATGCTGCAGCAGAAACCTTTATACAAGTGCAGAGAGTAAGCAGAGTCACCCAGTGTCTCCTTGCTCTGCTTTTCCATTAACACCCCCCCCCCCCCCCCCCCCCCCGAGATCCCACTTCACTCTGTTCCCCCCCCCCCCCCCCCCCCCCCCCCCCCCCCGAGATCCCACTTCACTCTGTTGTCAGTGTTCGCTGCCTCGGGAGATGCAACGCGACATGTACAAGACCTGCACACTTAAGGAGGCTGAATGGGACGAGTATCCCCACACAACCCACTAGCAGCTTCCTCTACAGAGGGTTCAATAAGACACGAGAAAAGCAACATGTGAAGAGAAACAGCAGCAATGACGTGTTTTAGAAGTTAAGGGAAATGCAATAACATCTCAAGGATGTGGCAAAGCATCTAAACTAAAAAAATCTGAAGAAATGATTGAGGCTGAATTGTTGAACTGTGAGCAGCAGCAGCTCTGATGGTCAAAAACAGCCTTCACGAAGGAGAATATTTTAAAACAAATTACAACTCAGTTGTGTCTTTTCAATGTTTCAACATGACTGGCTCATCCCTTGAGTTAGGAGTTTTGCTGCCTGAGTGAATCAAAGGACAAAGACCCATTCCACTGAAAGTGAATGAGTCCAAAACTGGAAGAAAAATCAGACAAGTTCAAAGTTAAAGACCAGGTTAAAGTTGTCAGGAAAGTTTGGCTGCAAGGAGAGCAAACAATAAGAAACTGGGACTAAATCATGAGTACTGGACTGGATCAGCGGTTCCTGTGTTGTGTGATTAACTGGTACCAGTGTTAAACCCAACTCTCCTTTAAAATCTCTAGAGAAACAGAACCTTCTGCCTCAGAAAAATTGTTGCTGTTAGAAAAGTCAGATAGAAAGAATTCTTGAACCGTGAGCAGCAAACATATAAAATGTGTGTAACTACAGAGTTTTCTGCCTTTGAAACTGGAAGCTAAAAGCTGTCACCTCCTGTTTTGAAGCTGAATTATAACTAAAGTCAGCTGTACCAACATAAGGACAGGATTTCCTGCAGTAGAAAGTTTAGATTGTCTTTTAAATGTGATTATACAGTATTAGATTTTCATTCACACACACACACACACACACACACACACACACACACACACACACACACACACACACACACACACACACACACACACACACACACACACACACGCACACGCACACATTAAGATTGCACTAGAGTGTCCTTGTTTCAGTAAAGACTGGGTTTAAATGGGGCAAATTAAGCATTGTTCCTTTTTTTAATCCTTTGGCTGCCATGTTGGTTTTGATGAGTCATTTCACAATAAGGAACTTTAGCACATAAACCCCTCTTCACCTGTTGGCAGCGCTCTTCTCCAAGCTCCTCCTGTTTGCTGTCCTCCTCATTGCAGCGAATCAGATGGTGGGTGGGCATGGCCAGCAACAGCTTGTTTGATTTAAAGTGACAGAACACTAAAACTGCTCATTCTGGAAGGCACTGAAAAGATCAAGGACAACAGCTAAAATATCTTTATGTGAGAGGGATTTAGTGCAAAGGACTTCGTGAAAAAATTGTTTGTAGACCATTGGCCTATAACTTAAAACGTGTTATAATGTTTTCTCTTTAAACTTCTAGTTAGTCAAGTCTTTTGGGTGTGGTTCTGATTCAGATGGTTCTGATGGACAAAATAAAGCTGTAATGTTCCCAAAAATTCAAGATGCACCTGGATGCCTCCTGCGTGCTGTCCATGGCCCTGAACTGTTCAAACTTTCTGTAGTTTGTGCCTAAATTAAGAATAAAGGTTTAAACTCTGGAGACTCATGAGAAAGTAGATGTTTAACCTCTGCATCATGATGATTATGACAAAGCTGCAGGTTTTTGCCATCTCTGTATGACATTTCTCTGTAATTTCTCAAACTGAAAAAGTGATGGTTAACTTATTTTGAAGTATGTGGAAGATTTTATTTAAAAACAAAAAATAAAAAATGAAAAGAAAAACAAGTTCACTATTTTTCTTCCAACACATTTGCAGTGAGCTCTAGTATAAATGAGTGCCTTGTGAGTCAATCTCAGTGGAGGGAAACAAAGCTACGGCGCTCCTGCTTCAGGAACTAGAAGTGAGCCAGAACAGAGAGGAGCAGAACACAGCAGGATCTGGAGTTTTATTTCCTGATACTTGGACATCTTGTCTTTGATTGGCTAATAGCAACATGACTCTACCACTGACTCCATTTGCTTTGCATACTTAATGTTTTATCTCCACAAATAACATGAGCCTGGAGGAGTTCTGCTGCGTGGTGGAGTTGTTTTTACTCTCATTTTGTTTCTTCTCTCCTGCACCATTCATTATAATTATATACACACAGCTGGTTATGCTAATTAAGTCACAACATCATTTAGAGACGGCAAAAATGTATTAACTACTTTAAAAAGTTCTAAACCTCCCTAAAAGGACAACTTGTGTTTTCTCTCATGTCTGATATTTAATAACTGCTGACATAACTATGCTAATTAGCATTGCTATGCTAAGCTGACCATCTTTGGTTGAATATTTTTCCAACGGCGTGTTTCTGTGTGAGTGAAGTTTTCATGCCGGTTTACTCGGCAGCCACAACTCCTCTCAGCTCCTGCACATAACAACCGCCATGTTTTCGTTGTGGCTGGTTGCTCATCAGCTGATCCCCTCACTTCAGCTTGCACATAGCTACCTGGCTGCATCCATCGCTGCAGCTTAGTGTCTGAATCTGCTGCATGAATCACTTAGAGAAGTGACGCACTTCAGATCATTTGAGTCATGCCCCTCGGCTTCTGGGAGCAGTCATGCATTAAACATCGATGAGCAGACTGTAAATAGTGAGGTCTGACCCAAATTAGCTGCTCCTGGGTGTAACTGGATTATTTTTGTCTCTGTGGGGCATGGCTTGAACTGATCTGAGATCAGTGTTCCTTCACACACTATATAAGCTTTGCTGCAGAACCAAGGATGTTTTTACAAAGGCTGCAGTGTTGTTTCATGCAGTTACGTTACAACCTTTTGGAAAGATTCATGTTCAAAAAGTACTCTGCAACAGACAAATCGAGAAGTCCATTTTTACAAGCTCCACTTCATTTCAAGATCTGTCAGTAGAAGAAGAGTTGCTTCAACTTTGCTTTAATAATGTGCAACATGATTAAGACTTTTAGCTGTAAAGTGAATTAAATCTGAACAATAAAGGTAAGTAATGGCATGGGTCCCAGCATCAGTGTTGCTGTTAGCATCATTAGCACAATTAGCATCTTCCTGCATTTTTTACACACACAAAAAAACAGCAGCGGAATGTTTTTCACTGTAATCACAGTTCAGGCAGATGAAAGTGTTTTTTTTTACAATAAAATCTCACAACAGTTAATTTAAACACTATTCTATGGACCTTCACATCAATATAAGTTTTAGGTTTCTACAGAATTTTAGTTAATGGTAGCACCAACAGCATTTCATTTGATTTATTCATTTATACAGTACCTTCCACAACCCTAGCAGAAACCCAAGGTGCTAAACACAACGAGAAAAATCAATCACAATAATAAATACAATAAAATATATGCTAAAAACAGCGTGACAACAGATAAAAGAGAAACAATTCAAATCAAGACCCCCGATGGTGAAATTGCCTCAACATAAAAATGAGCCTTCAGACGGGACTTAATCTGGAGGGAACGTGCCTGCCTAACAGTCAAAGGGAAACCGTCACACAGAGTTGGAGCCAAAACTGCAAACACACAATCTTCCCTTGATCTGCACCTGGAGCGAGAGACCACCAGCAACTCCGGGTCAGCAGAATGAAGAGAGCAGGTGGAGAAATGTCTATGAAGTAAAGCTGATAGATAGGCAGGAGCAGAACCGTGCAGAGCCCTATAAGCAAGCATCAGCACTTTAAACTTTGCTCTGTACTGCATGGGAAGCCAGTGGAGGTCCACCAACACCGGTGTAATGTGTTCACGACATCTTGTGCCTGTCAAAAACCTAGCAGCTGAGAGTTGAACCAGCTGTAGGCGAGCAAACATGCCCTGACTCAGACAAGAAAGCATTACAGTAGTCGAGTCTGGACAGCATAAAGGCTTGAATGACGGACCATAGGTGCTCCGTAGACAACGGTCTTGATCTTAGCCAAACGCCTCGGATGGAAGGGGCGGAATTTAATATATATATATATATATATATATATATATATATATATATATATATATATATATATATATATATTTATATATATATATATATATATATGTATATATATATATATATGTATATATATATATATATATATATATATATATATATATATATATATATATATATATATATACATACATATATATATATATACATATATATATATATATATATATATATACATACATATATATATATATACATATATATATATATATATATACATACATATATATATACATATATATATATATATATATACATATATAGAACCATCCACAAGAGAGTGCTCTAACTGCCGCAGAGTCTGGGTTTGTCTAGCTTATGGGTGGAGCTCAGAGTAGAGCTGCTGCTCCTCCTAATCAGAAGGAGTCAGCTGAGGTGGTTCAGATGGTCACCTGCTTTTGGAGGTTATGGGATCCAGACCACAATCAGGTGGACAGAAGATCTCAAGAATATAACTCTATAAGTAACCCAGAACTTTCTATAAATGTGGGTTGTATCAGACTACTTTTTAGTCCTCTATTACTAAATAATTTCAAACAGCTGAAACCTTTTCATCAAATATATGATTAAAACACTTTAGGCTACTTGAAATGAATGATGTTATTTATTTGTGTTAATTTATTTATTTGTATCCGCCTCTAGGTGCAGATTTAATATTTATCGTTTTTTATTTCTTCACCGGTGACTCCTTAGTAGGAGGTGCTTCAGCCTCTCAGGCTGGTCGGACGGCGGAGGAGGAGGAAGAAGACGAAGGAAGAGAGGAGCACCTGGAGGGGGCTGGAGCTCCAGCTGGTATTTGGCGGATGACGCGGGATCAGGTGGAGGCAAAGCTCCTTAGTGTGGGAGGGGGTGGTCAGAAAGTCCTACGGTGGTAGAAGGCGCTCCACCTCCTCCGGCAGCTGGATGAACAGTGCCGAACTCTCCGCACGGACCTCAACCGGACCAGCGGCTGGGTCGACGTGCGTCCTGACCGGTCCGAGGCTCGGAGCGCGGTTGTGTTTGAGCCGGAGTGCTGCTGGAGCGAGGAGAGGAGGAGAAGGATTATCTGCAGGAACTCCAGGTGAGGTTATTGTTTCATCCTCATCTTCATTAGAAAGTTGACATTTTAAAGTTGTTGCTAAACAAAACCAAAACTTACAATGTGTTGAGCGAGGGTCGGATCAGCTGAGAAGTAATCTGATTACAGCAGCTGATCGCTGCAGGTCTCTCCTCGAAGTTCTACCAGTCCCATCAACCAGTTCAACTGTGTGTGTGTGTGTGTGTGTGTGTGTGTGTGTGTGTGTGTGTGTTCCATCGGATATTAAAAGACCCAGCAGAAGCGAATCAGACTCCCTCAGTGTGACTTTTGTGTTAAAACAGTGTGGATAGCAAGGATTAAAATGCATTAAAACACAAAACGCTTAATTTAAAGGGGGAATATTTTAACTAGTAATAGTTCAATGGTGTAAAAACATGTTGATGAAGTTCCTTGTACATAATCATTCCCACATAAAGCGTTTTCAGATGAGAATTTGCAAAAACCTGCAAAGGTCCAAAGGTCTCAGAGTAGCTTTGATGGAGAGTCATGCAGGTTAATTAAACCAAGGACCATGTAGGGAAACTGTACAAGAACAACAAACAGAGAAAGAGACAATTAACTCACACCCTTATTTTTATTTTCTGAGGAGTTCTGGTAGCAGAACAGTTTTTCATTCTGCTGTTTTCAATACATTTTTTATTTCACTATTTTTAACGAAAGCATAAATAAAAGTTTTAAATTAATATTTTAACAGTTCAGTTCATTATGCATCAGTAGTGACCATAATAATTAATCTCATTTCCAACTTTTGGTGGCTTACTCATTTTAGAGGCAGCTTGATTTGAATGAACGCTGAATTTTCTCCAGACTCCTCTGCAACACCCCCCTCCCAGTGCCCCATGTGTTAGAGCAGATAAGACATGAGCTCCCCCTCCTATGAAACGTCTAGACAAACACAATATTTTCAGCTTTGAACTGAGAGCTGGGTTTATTAAAAACCTGCATCAGCATTCAGAGGTGCTAACCGCTCCAGCGCCAGGGCAGAAGGGTGAGAATCTGTGTGGAGTTTCCTTCAAACAGCACGAACGCATCTTTAATGTATTTCGTCCCGCCTCCTGCGGGGTGTTCAATCACTCTGTTACCTTCCTCGCCTCTCAGCTGCTGCAGCCGCCGGACTTTGAAGATGTTCTCTTCTTCGGTCTGACGGATGCAGAGCAGCGAGAATTAATTTTTTTAAGCGGTCAGATGATGATGATGATATCCTGCAGAGCTAATAGTCATTCCTGTCAACTTCAAACCCCCACGCTCAGATCAAAACACACCAGAGCGGACAGAGTTTAAATTTAAAACTGAAACTCACTCATTGGAGGTTTAATTCCATGAGAAGTTGGACTTGTCAGAGCTGATGTTTAATTCAGAATGAAAAACGTGTCTGATTTTTCCGTTGGAAGCTTGCTGATGGATACAATGAAAGTTCTCTAAATGAGTGTCTGAATGAGCAGAGTGTTCAACGTCACCCAAGGGCGCAGATCGGATTTTCAAACTGGGGGGGGGCAAAGTTCCAATGTACCCACACGCACGTACACATACACAAACTATTGCAAGAGCCTTAACTAGAGCTCAGTCAGTTTGTGTAATTTCATCCAATGGTTATGAAAAAACGAATACTATTATATACGTGTTTGAAGCCATTGTGCAATGGAACACCGGCAACAAAGCTCTGCCTGATCAACACTATCCAAGTCAGTCGTTTGTTATTCTCTCAATCAATTACTAACCAAAACCTCATGCTTTATGCAAAACATGTTAACTGATTTTCACCATACCGATCTTTTAGGGCTGGGCAATAACTCGAAAATGTATCGTTATCGAAATTTCTGACCCTTATCAAGATCATTTTCCCCACGTCAATAAATTCGATAATAAAAACATAAATAGATGTGTGTAGGTTGGCAACGTTCGTGTCCCTTTAAGAAGCTGTACCATCTTGGCGTCACACACGTGACAGCCGCATCTAGTGGACAAAGTTTGTTTCTGCGCATACCTGTAGTCATCGTCCATTTATCATTATCAAGGTGAAATCCTCAATATATCGTGATATTGATTTTAGGCCATGTCACCCAGCCCTACAGTCTTTACAGAAAACATAAAAAGCCCTATGTAAAAAAAAACAACTGCACATAAAATATAATAAAAAACGATAGCAGTGGTTCCCAAACTTTTCAGCCCCTGACCAACAGATGTTCCTTCTTATTTTTACGTTATTTAGAATTTTTCATTATATTTGGAAAGTTTTAATGTATATGCAAATATATAAAGCTCCTTTTAAATGTCATATTTAACTTTTATTTTTATGATTATGTGACACACTTTGACTTCCATACTGTATGTAACGCATCGGCATCTGCCTCTTTTTTACGGCTTATTTTGTACATTGTCGCTACGTCTGTCACGTTTTCGGTGTTTTTACCATCATTTCTACGTCCATCACATCCCAAAGAAGGCTAAACCAACATCAAACCCAACGTTTGGAGGATGTGAGCTCAACACACCTCTCATGTGCCACCAGCTGTCTGATGCTGCAGCAGCGTCAATCTTCCCGGCTGGATGAGTGAACTTCTTCATCAGAGTCAATATTCTGCTTCATAATCAGAGTCAGTCATGACCAGACAAAGTGATGAATGAACAAAGACCAGACCTGCTGGCAATTATACGTTTTATCCAATATTTGCGCTCTTCATGTTGCGCGCATCACCACCTCTTCCTGACTGGGAGCCTCTCGGCGGGAGGCGTTTTTCAAGCTCTAAACTCCCAAACTTTGCTCAGCCTGAAGGTTACACATCTCCACTATCTTCTGGTGTAAAGTAGTAACTTCATGAGGGATCATACTTGTAGATGCGACTTGTTAAAGTCAGCAATGTCATAATATTGCGACTTTGGTGGTTATAATGAGTAAGTACCAACACTGACAACAACGTACTGAAACTATAACCAACATGCAAAAACAGACAGATCGGTCCAGCCTACTTACACTGTTGGTCTTTTTTTAAAACGCAATAATTGTTGCTTCATCCTGCATCCTAGCAGCAACCACTTTGGTGCCTCTGGAGTCGGTGTTGCATTCAGTGTAATTGGAAAAATGAGCTTCGAGTGCTTAATCTCCGATTTTGTTTTCTTTCTTGCCTCATAAGTGGAAGGGAAGGATCAGAGTCAATCTGAATCTGGGGGGGGAACAGATCTCCCCCCGTCCCCCACCCTATCTGCGCACCTGGACCCAGGCAGTGTGTGGCGGTTCTGCGAGACCGACAACCAGATGGTTTAATAGTTGCTTTCAAAAACGTGTTACAGGTGGAGGTTTTTAGACATACGCAAGAGAAACACTTTAATATATATATTTACATTTAATCTCCGCAATATATTTATGCTATACGATGTTAGAACGTTGTTAACTCATCCACTGCCAGCCATTTCCTGATCAGAAAAGCCATTCGCTGCCAGCGTTTCTCACCGTTTTTACTGTTTTTATAAGAGTCACAGAACGTTGCGCGCTAGGATGATGTCGATTCCAAAACAACCCAAACAAAGAGGTGACTCACCTCTTACATCAGGAAAAATCTGCGCCTTTCGAGCGTTATCCGTTCTTTCATAATCCGTTGTTGAATCGTGATCGGCAGACGTTTCTCCGGTTTGCACCTCACTTTTTTTTACACCAGCGGCCCAAAACAATCCCCTAACACATGGATTTTCTGCTTCCTGATCACGTGACATGTGACGTATGCGGATGAAGATTGGCTTTAGAGCTGGGATGTTTGTTCTCACGGTGCGGGGGCTCGTTCCGACGCCCACACAGTAAAAAAATGCAAATGACGACTTTAATCGTCGTTGGCAGTGAATGAGTTAAGAGGCATTAAAAATATTTTAGCTAATTTGTTTTCAGAATTTCCCATCGTAGTTTCAAACCGGCCTCTTTCATCTGTATTCTGCAGACATTTCATTAAAAAAGAAAAGCTGATGTGTTAGAAGCAGAAGACTTTATGGTGAAAGACAGAATGAAACAGCGTTCAGTCAGAGTGGTTTACACACACATCTTAGTTATGGGAAAAATCAAGCCAACACCTTAATTAGAGTTGGAGCCTCCATCCTAGTTTACCTGTCCATTGGAAAATCTAATTATTGAATGAAATGGGTTCCACTCCACGACGGAAGGCGCCCTTTTGTGTCAGCATTCTTCCGGTTTGCCTAAAGCGTCACACAAATCCGAAACAAAAGCTGGCGGTAGAGAAGCAGGTGGAGATGAAGCAGGATGTGCACAACGGAGCAAGAGATGATGTTTTGATTGAGTTACACGTCAGATTCACACACAGTCACGTGATAATAATAATAATAATAATGCATTTAACTTATATAGCGCTTTTCTAGACACCCAAAGACGCTTTCACACACTCTCACATTCACACACTGCTAGTGATGGTAAGCTACTTGTAGCCACAGCCGCCCTGGGGAGGTCTGACAGAGGCGAGGCTGCCATTTGGTGCCGTCGGCCCCTCTGACCACCACTAACACAAGCAAGTTGGGTGAAGTGTCTTGCCCAAGGACACAACAGCAGGATACCCCTGGCGGGAGCTGGAATCGAACCCATGACCCTCCGATCATGAGGCAACCCGCTCTACCACCTGAGCTACTGCTGCTGTGATGAGGAGGTTATCAGAGAACCGCCTTCACAGTCTCGTCACTTCCAGCAGGGAGAGTGCCCAGGTTGGTCAGAACTAGGGTTGGGCATCGTTTGATTTTGAATGATTCCGATTCCAATTCCTCGTTTCGATTCTGGTTCCTATCGATTCCCGATTTCGATTCTTTCAAGACATGACATGTTTTACACGAGCCAGCTAACCACAGGCCCCACTTGATGAAATTATCTTAACTTCAACGTGAATTTTAACTCTATGAACAACAACATCACCTTCATTTAGACAGAAACATGTTTTGGAGAAAAAAAAGAAAAAGACTTGCAGCACAACCAGTGTGTTTGTTTCTGACCACAA